CCCCCCTCCTCCATATTTTGTTGACGTAATTAATGGACAACCCCTTTACTACCTGAATTACTATTTCAGTATTCCAATATTTTGGAATAAACTGAAGCCGATAATCAGTTAGCAAACAATTCTTTGAAATATATTACAACCTCGAAAACAACTGGCAAATTATTCAATCACTTACATCAATATTTTGACTTGATTTCAGCAAAGTTTTCAACTAAAAAATAAAGCTTCGCGCAAAAGATAACAATGTCTTGGGTTAACCAAGATGGCGGCTGACTTTCAAAACTGGCTTCACCGCGTTTTATATAAAGTATATACTACGGCGTCTCCTGTTTATTAAACCTCCATGGTAGCTATAGTCAATGCAATAAAAATTAATTCGTTAAGTCGGCGCGCCGACTTATCGACTTACATCCCTAACATCACGGCGTTACGATGTTATAGAGATTCTAAGGCAGAAACAGTTGGTTAATGAATACTTCTTTTACGTATATCAACACGTCACAATAGCTTTGACGTATGTCAACACGTCACAGAAGTAAAATATTACGCACGTTCAGTTTTTTCTCAATACAAATGAACCACTTTAATTAATAAAACAACTTTTTTTATCATAAATCATTAAATATATATATTTATATATATACAATTACTATATAAATATTCAACTTGTGTAAACAATAATATCTTCATAACAATTTTAACAAGTGATATTTTATTTTTGCAAGAAAAAATATTTATGCAGTTTAAAACTACCCTCAAAGTTAGCTAAAAGATTTTATAGAAATAAAACATAATAATACCTTTAGTTGTCACTTTGCGAGGTTATAATTACCTTGTTCCATGTCCCAACTTTTTGAGTTTCAAGATAAAACAGTTTAAAAAAATAAAAACTTTAGTAGACGGAATGTTTTTTTTTTGCATTTTGCATTTTGCTTTCTCCAAAACTTTATTACTCTTAACTTAGATTTCAATTCAGAAGAAAAACATAAATTTAAAATACGTAATTCTAATCTTGCATTTTCTTAACCAATGTATCGGTCAACAAAGTATAAACAAATGGGTGAATCATTAGCTAGTCATAAAAAGTTTTATAATAATTTTTTTTAGGATCCCCCACTTTACTCTATATTTATTTGAAAACTTAAATTCTCTATTTTTATTTATAGGTAAAATAAAAGTTATATTTAAATAAAACTCAAATAGTGATTAAATGGTAAATTTTAAATCAAAGAGCTTAAATTTTCCAAAAAAAAACTTTTTTAAAGAATAATTAAAATAAGTAAAAAAAAATTTCTAAACTCTTAAAATTTCTTACCAGGGGTCAATGTTATAAAACTTTTTATCGGCGTAAAATGCTACCGGCGGAATTTTTGCTATGGAATTTTTACCGCCGTAAATTTAGAGACGTAAAATGTTTTTTCATTCAATGTTATAAAACTTTTACTGGCGTAAAATTTTGCAGATATCTATGCTCTGAATTTATTTTTGGAAATCTACTGTCCGAATCAATGACATAAAAGGTTGTCAAAAACAAAATGTTTTTGAGTTGAAAACATCAAAGTTAACAAAAATTAATAGTTTCTTATGGATTTGGATTTAGACTGTTCCGATTCTGATGAAAAATGTTTTGTTACTTTAGAATATTTGGCAAATTAGAGATATCCACGAGAAGTAAAACTGTTCAAACAGTATTTAAACTGTTAAGAATACAATTTAAAAGTAAAAAAATGGAATTGTCTTTAATTTTTTAGCCTACCCTATAACAAAATTTGTATAGCTTTTCTATAAAAATAACTTATACTATTTTCTATATAGAGGTTTCTTTAGACCAGAGTTGTTAGTCCTGGGCCTTGACCTTGCTTTAAGACCAAAAACTAATGTCTTGGATTTGAAACTTTTGGCTTAAAGTTTTTGGCTTTGACCTTGATCGTTTTGTACTACATACACCTTTTGTTCTAAAATACATAAAATTAAAGAATTAGCAGTTTTTATTCTTTTTTTACGTAATTAATTAGGTAATTATTCATTCTTTATTTTGTAAAATTGTGTTGATATAAATATAGAAAATCTATACACATTTTTTATTATACAATATATACACATAGAAACACATATTATACAATCTATACACATAGAAAATCTATACAAACAGAAAAAATAGGAAAAATTGCATAAATAAACTTTAAAAGAAAATGACTTTAAATATTTAATAACTAAAAGAATTATTCACTAACTCAAATTCTTATAACAAAAATTTATTTAGACACAAATAAACATTTGAATATAAAACTTTTTTTATTCTTTCTGATAAGAATTTTATCCACAATAAGTTTTGATGTGATTCCATACCATACACAATCTGAGAAACTTTGGAAACAAGTTGTACATAATGTCTAAAAACTTTCTGAATTAGAAGAAAAATCATTGATGTATTTTCTTATCTGATTTTATCAAAAATATTTGAGCTCGTACCATATTTGAGCAACTAAGGTAATTTCTAGAACTTTAATAATTCTGTTTATAGTTTGACCACTTGTTTTACTATTTCGAATTTCAAATAACCTCTGCATAAATTTTAAATGGAGAAATTTCTTTTGTCTGTCCATTTTGAGTTTGTCTAAAACAAAAATTGATCTGATTTTTGGATTAATAAATAGTCCTAGTAAACTTAGCATAAGTGTATTTTTCTAATTAGCTCAATAACAAACTTTAGAAATTTTTAAACACTTTAAATTCCTGATGGTTTTCTTTCAGGCTCCAATGTCTAAAAGAAAATTTGTAAAATTATTCTAAAAAGTTAAATTTGTTTATTAACTTTCATTCATGAAAACCTATATACATATATGTGTATATATATATATATATATATATATATATATATATATATATACATATATGTACATATATATATATATATATATATATATATATATATATATATATATATATATATATATATATATATATATATATATATATATATATATATATATATATGTATATATATATATGTATATATATATATATATATATATATATATATATATATATATATATATATATATACACACATATATGTAAATACATAAATTCCTGATGGTTTTCTTTCAGGCTCCAATGTCTAAAAGAAAATTTGTAAAATTATTCTAAAAAGTTAAATTTGTTTATTAACTTTCATTCATGAAAACCTATATACATATGTGTGTATATATATATATATATATATATATATATATATATATATATATATATATATATATATATATATATATATATATATATATATATATATATATATATATATATATATATGTACATATATGTATATATATATATATATATATATATATATATATATATATATATATATATATATATATATATATATATATATATATATATATATATATATGAAGAATAAAACTAGATAAGTAAAAATATTTATCTAGCTTTATTCTTTAACAACGTGTTTCTCCATCAGTAGGTTCATAAGGAAGGTTTATCAGTAGGTTCAATAGTTGATCAGGCTTCCTGATAAACCTACTGATGGAGAAACAAGCTCTCGAAGATAAAATTAGATTAGTGTTTTTACTAATTTATTATTGTTATATTGTTATTAAATTATATAGTCTTTAAGAACATTGAGCACTCTCTCTGCATATATTTTTCTCTCTTCATATATATATATATATATATATATATATATATATATATATATATATATATATATATATATATATATATATATATATATATATATATTTATACTTTATAACTTTAACTTTTTTTTAGAAAAATATTGCTTATAAATACTATACTTTTTTTCAACTTATTATTTATAACTCTAACTCTCAGCTTCTATCTATCTAATTTTTTTTTTCTCTTTTCTGTTATGTTTTAATATTTTTTGTTAAATTTAATGAGTTTAACAAAAAATATTAAATCACAACAGAAAAGAAAAAAATTAGATAAACAAAAGCTCAGAATTAGGGTTATAAATAATAATTTGAATGAAAGTATAAAGTTTATAAGCAATGTTTTTCTAAAAATTAGTTAATGAGAGCAGTTTTAAATTTTGAGAATGACTTACATTTCTTACATGACAAATTCAGTAAAAAAAAATTAACAAAGAAATCGCTTGAAATTAAAATTTACCAAGAAATGTGCACTTAATTAAAATGAATGAATTTTTTATAAGTTTTTAATTCAAGGTAAGTACTTTGAAAGGTTCTAAACCAGAGGTTTCTTTAACTAAATATTCATATCTCTGGATCTTCAACAAAAATTTCCGTAGGTCGCTCCTCCGGAACATTTATCGCCTGTAAACCTTTCGGCTGAAGAAATTTATCGACGGTAATTTTGAAAAAATTTTTGTAACATTGAAACAAATCATTTACGCCGATAAAATTTACAGCCGGTAGCATTTTACGCCGATAAAAAGTTTTATAACATTGACCCCAGGCGGTAAATTTTCAAAATTTTACGGTAAATTTTAATAAACTTTAATTAAAAGGAGGGCAAAGCTCTCCTTTTAATTAAATAAAATAGTCGAATTTTTTGTGTTTTTTTAACACTTTATTTTTTATGTATTTTTATCTTTTTTTTTTTTTACACTAGTGTATTAGATTTTCATTCATAAAAAAATTTTTTTATTGTCGTGGTTAAATGCTTTTAAATAAATGTAAAAAACTTAATTTAAAATCTTGTCTAATCACACTACCTGACAGATCGAAAATGTCTTTACGAAACGGGAGAAGTATATTTGGAAAAACATTTGAATTTAAATTTATACATAATAAATAATAATAATCATAATAAAATATACTTAAAATAAAAAAATTTGATGTTTAGTTTGAAGTGATTTTACTCAAATATTTTTGTTTAAAAATATTTGATGAAGTTTTCTTATAATTTGACACCAATGGTTTATTGATTGACCAGTGGTTTCTATGATAAAATTATCACTTTACCTTATCAAAACATTTTTAGACTTTCATGGTGAGTTTGACAAACATAGCGCATACTAAAATATATTATTATATCCGTTATAGAAAGCCTTTAGTTAAAAATGAAACTTGAAATTTAAATTTTGTATCACGATTATATATTTATTTTCGTGATAAAATCACTATGACAAAATATTTAAATAAAATACTATTATAAAAACGAAAAATGACAGTCAAATATCACACGTTATTCTATATTTTAAGTTCATGGGTTGTCACAAAAAGTACTTCTGCTCAAAAAAAAGGTTAGAATATGTTTTAAATTATTATTAATATAAAATTTGTTTAATTAAATTATTATGAAAGTGAAACATATTTATATAATTATAAATATAGAAGGTTATGTCTAATTGGTAAATAAACTTACAAGAAGTATAAAGCACACACACACACGCACGCACACACGCACACCCGCACACACACACACAACACACATATATTAACTCGATAGAATATTGTCTGTTTAATAAAAACTTGGCCGAAATAGTTTTTTTTTTTTTTTGACTTTTACTTATTTGTTTGCCCGTGAAAAAATGCTTTTTTTTTTTCCATAAAATTACAAATAATCTTTTGTTTGTAATATCTTAATGCATATTTCAACTGATAATAGTTCATAGAAAAAACTCTGATATTTCTAATATGATTAAGTTATTGGGTAGCATGATCATTACAGATGTTGGGTAGGATAAGTAAATAAATTCTGTACTAATGCACATGACAATTTAAATTTAAGATTTAGAGCTAATTGTTATGATTTTATCACATAATTGTTCATAAATTAACCGCTTTTGGTATTATATACATTTTGACCGCTTTTGGTATTTTATACATTTTTAAAAAAAATATAGCGATGTGAACAACTAGAGTATTTAACAAAGGTGTAAGATTACATGACTCATCATAAGATTACATAAGTCATCATAGGATTACATTAACTACCTTAATATTTCATGAATCATTGAATCTATAGGTTGCGAACCTGTATGTAACAAAAAAATTATCATTTTTTATGATGTGAAAGTAGTAAAGTTCTTTAAAGAGTAGTAGCAATTATTGCATGTTTTGTATAATTTATATTTTTTGTTAGTTAACTGTGTTCAACTTAAAAATAAAATTTTTTTAAACCTGTCTTAAAGACTAGTAGTTTATCAACTATTTAAGTTTGTGTTTTTTATTGCATTAAGTTTTTTTTTGTCTTTAATCTCCATCTAAGCAGAAACGTGATTTTCTTAACTCTCCCTTACAAAACCACACTCCTCTATTTCAAAACCACACTCCTCTATTTCAAAACCACACTCTATTTCAGAACTACGATGCTATAGTTATTTAGATCAAGATATACAAAAATAATTATTTTTTGTTGTTTTTTGCATAACTTAAATTTTATTTAAAACAGCACGAGCCAGCCTGTTTTTAACATAACTTTTCCTTAACAATAAAAAAAAATATTGACTTTACAGCATGTTTAAAAAATTTTGTGAAAGATCTTTAAATGATAATTAGTTGGTAAAATAAATAAGATATTAACGTTACAAATAACAGCAATAACAAAAAAAAAAAATACATTACAAATATTATCTTTTACCATTAGGAACTTAAATACAAGGGTAAAGGCAGTTTATCTTAACGTCTGATAAGCAAACATTATAAAAATAAAGTTGGTCTGGACCAATCACTCTCAGTCTCCATTCAAAATTGATGTCTTATTTTTCAACACTTATTTTTTATTATTTATAGTAAAGTTTCATTCAAAAACATTAACGTTCCAAAATATTTCAGTAAATTGTATTTTTTAACAAAAATTTTATATTTATTTTATTGTTATCGTTATTGTTATTGTATTTATTTATCGTCTTTATTTTCATTTGTATCTATTTTATTGCAATTATTTTATTCTTACGTTTATTGTAATTATATTATTGTCATTGTTATGCTTTACTATGTCATAAAAGCAAAGCAAAAAAGCGCGCTCAGATTACAGTTTCGAATAATTTTGACACCAATTCAAAACAAATTTTTTTTTTCCAAGAGTAACAAAAATTTATTGATAGCAACACAAATAAACTTGAAGAGTATTTATAAAATTAGGAGTGTAAAACTAATGACATTCAGCAATTTTTTTTTTATCAATTTTGTTTTTTTATGTATTACTTTTATTTAAATTGTTTATCTGAAATAAAATAAAATTTAAAAAGTTTATGGGGGTTGAGAGGGGCGAAGTCAACAAATTCAAATTTAATATGGCCTATAAAAAAGATTAGAAATTCTTCTTGATTGAATGATTAGTGATTTTTTTAACGTTCAAAACTTTATTAATTTTAAAGTATAAAAGTAATGCATAAAAAAGACTCTTCACTCTCATCGTTTATAAACAATAGGTTGCCTAGCAATTAGCCAAATGGAATTTGCCAGTGCATTATTAGTGCAGTGGGTTTGTGCAAACTTTGTGCTATTTAAGGTAAACATGAAACTTGGTGGACATGTTGATAGGGTTCAAACATTCATTTTAAGACTTAGAACCACTTTTAAAATGACCACAAATGGTGTCCATGGAAACTAGCACCTGTGCATAGCAAAAAACCTTTACTTTTTCAAAATTTATATACTAATCAAAAGCTTAATAAATAATGAAGCAGAAAATACAAATATGGAAAAAATTAACTGATAACAAGTTACGGGGATTTAAAACGTTAATAATCCAGAAAACGGGTAGGTATTGCGTGAAAAAATAAATAGAAATTATTTTTTGAAGAAAAATGGCAGTGTAAAAAACTTTGTAAATATTTTATTTATTTAAAATATAAAATTAGTTTTTATTTTCTTAAAGAAAAACATTTTCATAAGACAACCATGTCCATAAAATTTACTGTCTGAAAATAACACAAAATCAAATAAATCTTTAGTTTGAAAAATTTAAAAGGCAGGGCGAAGTCACCAGTTACAATATTATTTATATTGTAGAAATATTTTAATGAAAAGTTTATTCATCATGATGCAAAATTTCACAAGTTGTGTAATAATAAATTTAGCAATATAAGAATAGAAAAAGCTGAAAAACAAATCCTACGAGAGTACAAGAAGAAAGATGATGTGTCGAACATAATTTTTGTTCAATGAATTAGCTACAAAATTTGAAATTGGGTTTCAATATTTGAGTTAGAAAAACGTGTGATAAACGCGATACTGTCCTTGAAGATAAGATATACTTTGTCAGGTAAACTTAGTTACTAAGTTGCTAGTGACCAGATAACCCCAGATGCTACATATCACTCTATTTGTCTGCTAAGTCTCTCCGATAAAATGTCATGTGGTAATTCTGAAAAACAAATTAATGACCAGATTCTTGCTGAATTGAAGCAGTATATGATACTAGTAACGAAGAATACTAATAACAGCGTCTTTAAATTATCTTTCAAATTAGTTTTAAATATCTTTTAAATTAGTTGACCTTGCTCAACTATAAAATTAAAGCAGAGATTGTTGGCACATGTAGAAAATCTGAGGGATAAAAATTTAAAAGAATTTTTCCTACTTTACATTTAACGAATATGTTGGAAATGTTTTGAAAAATCATTATGAAAAGATTTATGACAACGAATCTTTCATATTGTTGGAATATATTTACACTAATCAAAGCTATGTCTTTAACGATTATTTTTTACAAGTTTGGAATAATCAACACAAATGGGTAATAGAGTTTTGAACTACCTCGCAGAAAAAAAAAGAAAGTTTGCCCACTGAGTTTGAATATTAACGTTTTTAGAACTGTTTCTTTAGATAATATAGACCAATATCTTTTTTTCTCTTTTCAGATGGTTGTACCACGTTGAAGACGCTAAAAAACTATATAGGGAAAAAATAAAAAGCTTCAACATTGCTTGGTCAGCATTTAATGCATCACAGGTTAATGCCGTCAAAGTTATTGATCATTTAGGGTTGCTCCCATTATTCCGTTATTTTCTAAACCTGCTGTCATGATCAAATATGGAATGGATGAGATCAAGATAGCTGTTGATTTTTTAAATAAAAGTCAAACATCTGTCATTACTTTTGATCAGCCATTGTATTTCTTAGCTAAACTGATACAGTGATATTGGAAAGAATACTACAGAAAAAATGTTTACGTCATTATAATGGGCCACTTCAATCAAAATGGCGGCGCTGAAAGTAATTAGAGATGGGTTGATAAAAGTTATAAATAGGGTTAATTCTATTGAGATTTTTGGGGCAAAAAACATTCCACCGTTTTTCTCAAACCAGAATAAAGAAGTGTAAGAAGTCAAGTATAGAGAAGTATTCAATCCAATAAAACATAATAATCTACCAGTTTTTAGTTATGTTAATACAAAAAGGAAGTTAAAAAATCAATCACAAATACCTGCTCAAATAAATTGGCAATTGTTTTTGCAACTGTATATTTCCTTCCAAATCCGAGATGGCAACCTTAACGAGTTTTTTGCATATGAAAATCACTCCTTTCCACCATTTCTTTCAAAAGATGAACTGCTACGCAGTTGAATCAGAAATTTTAGCTTGTTTCAATGATTTGCACAGTCCACTTAAAGATAAACTAATAGTTTGAATATTGATGGAGCTGTTTTAAAAAAGTTGTCGATTTGAGGTATTTGTAAATGTGTAAAAGCATTACTTTCATATATCGCACTTTGCGATATATGAAAGTAATATAATTCATATATGATATATGAATTTTGTGTAAATTGTGAGCGTTGAATTTAAAATTTACCAAAAGTTTTAAATAACAAGTTTTGAATGTTTATTGAAAATTTCAGGGGGTAACTTTTGATATATAACATTGTGTATTTAATATTTATTTAAAATTAGAGTTGAATATTTTAGTGTTATTTTAAATTATATTTATTAACTTTATACTATAGTTAAACTATTTGTATTATTAGAACATGTAAGTATAATTTAAAGGTATGATTTTGTACAAAAATATAACGCTTTTACCCCATTGATCTTTAAGTTTTTAAACCGAGCTTTCGATTAATGCATAAAAATCAGTTGTCTTTTTTTTTAATTTGTTGCTACTGGACATGATCCAGTTACCATAGAGACAGGTGGAGCTAGTTTGGAAGAGGGTCTGAGTCTTAAAATGAGTATTTCGATATTATAAACGTGTAGGCCAGTTTTCATGTTTTTGCTCAAAATAGCACAATAATATATAAATTTGTCACCAATTAACTGCACTATATATGCACCAATTTTTTTTTTAAAAGATTTT